CTGCTGCCCACCTCGATCTATCACAGGCCTGCCGATGGCTCCCAGGGGGCCCATGCACTGTGCAGCCCTCGCACCCCCCCCCCCACCACCACCTTCCTCCCTCCCAGCCCTCCGCCTCCCCCCCCCCCATCACCTCCCCCGCCGTGAGTGACAGGCATCCAGTTCCGCCTGACTGGAGCCTCTATCTCCTCACCCTCAAGGACAACTAAGAGGACATATTGTCATCTCTCACATTCCCACGGCCGCCTCCTCAATAGATGCACATATGGACACACTGTCTCTCTCTCTCTCTCCACACACACACACACGCACACACACACACACACACACACACACACACACATTACCAACTGCGACCCACTCACCTGAAACAACATCTACGTGACCTTTGCTTAATGTCCTCGGGTGCCTTGCCAAAACCTGCTCACACAAACAACCCCGGCCGTGCCTGCCGCTTCTCATTGGCTGTGAGTCTGTGTTTGAAAGCATCTAGGTGGAGGTTGTTAGGAACCACTTCAGACAGAAACCTCCAACAGAGGAAATAAACAAGGCATTGTCTGTGCAGATCGCCTCACACTTCTGAGCTTTAATGTTTTCCGAGCTGTGAAGATCTGAATTCTTCATCTCGTACTGTACCACAGTGTGGCGGCGGCGTGTGATGTGAGAAAGGACCGGCTGTTCCAGAGGGATATCGGACAGATTTTCAAATAAATAACAACACTTGGTTTGCAGAAGTGTTTCCGAGCAATCAATGTGTATTCCAGTAAGATTGTTTGCTGTGTAACCTTTAAGTGGTCTGATACATTGTTCAGTTTTGTACAACAACATCCGTGTACATCAATGTATTGTTGTTTCTGCTTTGCTGTCTGATAACCAGCAGTTATGCTGTTATTCCTGAAAAGTGTTTTTGCACTCAGACATAATCTTAGAAGATGCTTTGCTGTTGGGAAAACAAATTGTTGCTTAAAGCTGTAAGACCTTCACATGTTGACAGGAAACTTAAGACATTTTGAGAATATTGAATCCCAAAAGAAATCTTAAAATGGGATTTCAGAGCTGTGGAGTCTTTTGATGAAAAGCCAGAAAAATAACATAAAAGAGTTTCTTCTAAAATATTGATTTTAGAAGATAAGCTAAGTTCCAAATGTAGTACTATTTTATAAAGGAGTTTGTGGAATAGATATCAACTATATCCTATTCACAAATGTTTCACTGCATGTAGTCAAGTCTGTAACAATCACAATTTATGGTATTTTCACATTAAAAATGAAATGAATAACAAGGCCAAATATCCTTATTAATTGACTTCCAGATCACGTCGGCTCTATGGATATTTGTTTGCATTTTCCAGTTCATCAGCCTCCAACTTTACAACTCTAAGCTGATTTGAGAAAACAGAACAGCTGACGCCAGTAACTAGCTGGTGAAACTTATTAGACATCAAGCGGCTAAAGAGTCAGATATTTCATGAGACGTTTGTGGAGAAACGTGAATATTTAATTAACAATCATTAGGTGTTTAAAAAAAATCATGCACATTTCAAATAAATATGTTTCCATATCTGCAACATGCCTAAAATGTTTCCTAAAACCTTTCCCAGCAACTTTATAATGGGCAGTAATGATCATGCTGGGCTTATAGATCGTTGCAATGCAATGCAATTTGCTAGCATATTAGCAGTACATTTCGGAATCTATAATTTAAACAAGTTTTGGCAATGGAAAATAAACAGGTATCAGAAACTGACTTCAAATGATCTAGCTCCATCAAATGTTGTGTTATCATTGGTTATATACATCAAGAACGCAAAATAGAATATATAAAAAATAATGATTTTAGGAAATAAATCCAATCTTTAGCAGGTGCGATGTTTTAAAGCGTAATGACTGGTAAGGCACAACATATGCAGATTATTTATTATGTAGATAAAACTCAAGACCACTACTTCAGTGATTTCCACAGCATGATCCAGTCTGTGAATGGAGTCTGCTTTGTGGTCATAGAAATCAGGAAAGTGCAGCTGTGAACAAAGGACTAAGCTTAACCTCCAATCATATCCATTCAGGTATAATGTGCAACCATATAGGTTTATTACAAACTTAATTGTAAACCATTTTCTTTAAATGGTCAATTCCTTGACGTAAGTGTGTCTAATTGAGCCGATTCATGGACTTTTATTCAGGATCTTCTGGTCAGACTTCATGCATGGTGTGTTTTCAAATACACTCTTGCCCACTGCAGCTTAAATGTCAGAGCGGTTTCAGAGTTTCCACTGTATTGTTATTAAAGTTGCAATATATCGGCCTTGCAAAGTCTTAATACAGAGAGTGTAGCTTCTCCTTTGTGCTGGCCTTTTTATTGGCCTGTTCAGTGTCATTTGGAAAGCTAATTTACTTTCACACTATTATTTTTTAGGTTTAGGCCAAGTGACAGTTTCTGTGAATTGCTATTTAGAGAAGGTACAAGATAAGTACATTTTGTGAAACTAGCCCTATTTAAATCTCCCATTGCGTATTTTTCAAACATAAACTTGGGATGCAAATAATGAGTCAGCACAAAAACAAATTTATAACAATCATCATTATTACAGCGAGGCAAAATGTTGTGTTTGTTTTTAAATCTTCCCCTTATTGCAGCATAAATCACGCCGCAAGCTTCCCAATGTGCTGAAGCTCCTATAAGTATCGCAGGAGGCCAAACACGGGCTATTCATTTCTATTTTCAGAATGCCAATTATGGTGCACAGCAGCAGCTTTGGATATTGAACCAGCTGAAGTCAAACTGTTGTAATACATTATTATCTATTTCAACCTGGTGCAGTGGGGAGATTCTCACCGTTGGATTTTCATCAAAAGTGATAGCCTGCTGAAAATGTAATTCACTGTTTTAGTATAAATCAATAAGTCTCCAGAATCTATTCCCCCATTCCACCTTTATGTTAATATAAAAGAAATGCTCAAATAGAACTTTAATTCACCACACAGACTTTCAGACTGTTTAATAGCCCCAATTTTATCCATAACTGCTCAATTGACACTTACATTTCAAGCCCATCTTAATTTGGCTTCTCCTGACGATTTTAAGTTCTACCTCTCTTTGGAGCCAAGGCTACTCCGACCCGTGTTAATGGAGATTTATAGGCTTGTGCCATTCTAACAGTGGTCTTCTATTAAGAATGATATCCCATTTGACCATTATTACTCTGTTCTCCGACTACAAAGAAGAAAAGTAATTTCTGTATGTGCTGCAGTGTATTCAAAGGTCTTGGATACTGCGTATAAGCAAGAAAAGACAAAAGACGTTAAATACTGAACATGTGGAAGAGTGTAAAGCTAATTATGTGTTAGAGTGTTAGAGTACATTCAGATGTTTCTGATGAGGGATATAAATCCTGATGGACTCCCATCCGAGTGTATTCATTAATCATGCGTCTCATTGGCCAGGCTCTGATTTGCCACTGAGACAGATGAAGATGAACTCAGCAATATATTTCTCATCATAACACAACCCTCACATAAATATTAATAGCATATTTTCAGCTGGTGGGCATGAATCATTTTTCAGACAGGGAATTTTAAGAACCATCCATGCATGTCCGAGAACAGCAAGCAGTCGAGATAAACAACACTTCAAGGCAACATTGGAGAGAAGAAACTGTAAAGGACTCCAAAGGTCTTTCTTTTACTTACTTGAGGCTCCTTCAATCAATACATTATTCTATTTAACTCTACAGCTTGTCAACACAAATATTTTAATTGCACAAGTGACTGATGTGAGTTTCTGAATGCAGCAGTTTGGATGTCAGTTAGATCTTGTATTAGAGCAACAATATTTCCAAGTTACCCTGTCAACACTGGAGTGGCTGTGATATTTCCGATGATGGATGTTGCTTTTATAATTGGCTATTATGGTGGGTTAAAGGAAATATCCTGCCTTCAATACTTCAAAGCTGGTATAATCAATATTTGAGATGACTATTTGTGGTGTTAAGAGGGCTTTCATAGGGACAAACACAAAAATAACAAACCAACTCGGCAGTAACTGCAGCCCTGCAGACCTTTTAGCACCTTCAGCTCAATGTTTTGGTTTTAGAGGACATTATGCTCATTTCAAGGTTGACATTTCTATTGTGTGCCTCTACTGTGAAATGTTTAGATGCTTTAATGTTCAAAAAGCTCTTTATTTTTCTCATACTGCCTGTGCTGCAGCACCTCTTTTCACCCTCTGTCTGAAACCAGAGCCCAGTCTGCTCTGATTGGTTAGCAGGCCGGCTCTGTTGTGATTATTCAACCCTCTAAGAGATGTCCCGCCCCTTAGCCTATCACGTACAATGTGTTGGAGCGCTAGCCAATGGAAAATGCGAATGTTACATAGTGATGTCACTATGATCTGGAGGCGTTTCAGGGAACTTTGGTGTTTAACCCTTTGCAGACCATTGACGTGCACACTAAAGCTTTTTATACTTCCGATAAACTCACACATACAAGTACCAAACAGACGGACTAAAAGGAAATTACTGCAAATTACTGTATTTTTTTCACTTGAATGTGTCTTAAAGTCTTTGTAAATTGATAGTTCATCCAACCATGGAAACGGCTGTTAAAACCAGAGCCATTTAAAATCTACAAACAAGCGTGAATCGCTTAACTGCAACCATGAAGACACAACACAATCACACCCACACATTTGACCTTCATGCCAAATGTCAGCCTTCTAGGCCGAAATGTTTAGCTGCCAAAGGGTGGGAACATTTTTGTGTTTCCACCGACCTAAAAACCCACTGGTCGCAGATACAAATTTGAGATATAGAAAGGCTATCTTTATACTTCTCTGCAGAGTAGGTACATGATGAACAATTGTGACATTTTGAGTGGAAGCCAAAGAAAGTGGCCCTCTTGTTATGCTTTCTCTGACCTTTTACTATTCTTTGGTACAAAACTATGATATATCCAATGACAAATGCTGCCCAGTCACAGAAGGCTTTCTTTGTGTCATTGCAGGTGTACGACCACCAGTTCAAGGCAGTGGTGGATGGCCTGGAGAGAGACGGTGTGATGGAGATTGACCCGGGTCAGCGCATTGAGATCTTCAGAATGGGAAATGGCAGCAAGGAAGTACTTGAGGTGCACGACTTCAAAAATGTAAGTAAAAGGTTTAACAAAGCCGAGAAAGCTGTTGCTCCCTGTTAAAAACCTGATGCTGTAATTGTTTCTTCTCTTGAGCGGAGGAGGGATTATGATGTTCGCATCCTGCCCTTTTCAAAGAGGTGGTTAACATTTATCCTTTTTTTAATCATGTTTTCTTTTTCAATAATATGTTCTGCTCTTCTTTGATGCTTATTGAAAACAGGTGTGACAAACCTTTGAAAAATCTGAAAAACAAAATAATGGAAATGATACTCCACTGTGCGGTGTACACAGGGATCAGAAATACATTATAAAATATGCCTGCTAAATCACTGCTTGTACTCCTAGAGATTATGTGTTTGAGTGCACACAGCAGCACAGGAAAAAAGTGTTTTACAAAAAGACAGTTTTCTTCCTGATCATTTTATACAGTATACTTCTTTGCACTGCAGAGACAAACACATTAAAAGCCCATCTCTATTTGTTTCTCACACCTTTTTGTACTGCACATTTGTCTTCAGAAGACCTCATTACCTTACTTTTCATTCCTAAGTCCTCTCAAGTGTGCAGGAGGTTGCACATGACGCCCCTCTGAAAAGGCAGCGTACTGTTTGACTGGTTAATGAATATCCGCAGTTGCATCATTATTTACTGTGAAATGTTTGGTCACACGGCTGAACTCATCCCAAAGAAACACATACATCGAGTTATTGCTTTTTTAACAATGGTCTTTGTGAATGTAAAATGGTTCTATAGTATGGAAATCCAGCACAGCACTGGAAAACGTTAACATCAGCAATCAATCTCTCCATTCTCTCTTTCGTCCTCCAAGTGTGTGTGTGTGTGTGTGTGTGTGTGTGTGTGTGTGTGTGTGTGTGTGTCCTACTCACCCACACATGGATAAACACATGTGCCTGTTGCTTGTTCCACTTCCTGTTAGTGAAGCACAGTCCCCGCAGAGATTTGTTTGATTCAGTGCTTCACCATGAAAGCCTAAGAAACAAGCGAGTGAGCAGGGTAATTCAAAACCTTAGAGATTTTTGGTTAAAGGGGAAGGAAACCTACACAGAAACAATAGGTTGTACTAACTGGTAGCTTGTGTGCGGATGTTAGAATATAGCAACACAAACCACCTCTAAAACAATCTCCATCAAGCCTGAGGGCTGTGTGAGGAATTGAAAATGAGGGGATTATACCACCAGGACCGAGGACCACACAGGCGAAATCCACTCGCTATTGTTTCAGGCCAATACAAAGTCATTTTAAGGCGGGAGAAATGGAAAAGACATCCTAAGAGAGAATCATGGGGTCATTCTAGTAAAACAATCTCATAATAAATATTCTTGACAAGTGAACAAAAGCACATTCAGGAAAATTGACCTTAAACTCATTCTGCTCAATAAAATGACAAACTACTTTATGTTACAGCACAAACTAATGTAATCATTTTCAATTTGCATGAAGGGAAAGCAATGATGAGATCAGAAAACAGTAGCTACAGATACAGGGGCATTTTGGGTTAAGCTTCAGCTAAGTTTGTGTCATGGTTAGAGAAGAAAATGTGGGTTTGTTTTTTCTATACGTTAAACTAATTCACCATGACATAACTTTCTGGAGCTGTATTTCCCTCAGTTGGTACTCGAAGGGTCTAGTTGCATTATTCAGATGGACGCACAGAATTCAGATTTGGTGTACTAAAGTTCTTAAAGGCCATGACCATACCTCATCTTGATCCGGCCAATTCTTTATTTCAGATACATTATCAATATTTTCAGACTCGTGTGTGCTAAAGAGGTTTAAGAATTTTACATTTCTGCTGTAAGGTGCTCAAAACCGTTCAATGGCCATCACACGCCCCAATGTAGAGTTTCTGCAATAAGCACATGTGAATAGGTGGAGTACAGGTATGGAAAAGTGATCAAATTCACACATTTTGCCACAAAAGGATATAAACAGTGACGCCAAAAATATATTGATAGGGATTGGAGATAAAGAATGTAACAAATGATACATATCTTGAAACACACAAACGTAATAAAACAATGCCACTGAAATAATTTAATAAAAAGGCTCCCATGAACATAAATTATTGGCACAATCCAACACGATTGTGGCTGAAAAAAACGCGTTATCACATGCCTAAAAAAACGCAACGTAGCAGCAGGCTATGGGCTGCAAGAGGCCCGCCCATTAACAAACCACACAAGTTATAACTGGCTATCTAATGTTAAACATGTAGAGAAAGCAAACCATCAACAGATAGGATCAAAAAGCTATTTATAATCAAGTTTCTTTTTTATACCCCATTGATGTTTCTTCCTTATGAGAAAAGTGTTACGTGTTGTGTTTGACACAGACCGTTCTCTTTGTCTATTTAATTTTATATATTTTTTGATCATGCGTTTCTTATGCACCATGTCTGTGAAGTACTAGAAAATTGCCTTGTTGGAATGTGCAATATAAATGAACTGTGTTCCTTACCTGCTGGTGCACGAGGGTGCTTTGAGGCCTGCACCTATATTACCAGGTGTTTCAAATATTCTGTCTCTCTGTTGCATCTTATATCTAAACCTGCTTATCCTTAGTGGGATCACAGAGCCTATAGCCCCCAGACCAAAGGCCAAGAGGAATACATTGCCGATGCTAATAATACCACAGACATGTAGGATAACCCTATCATATTCACTATTTCACCTACAGACAGCTTGAGTCACACCTAATCCGTAAACCAGAGGACCCCTGCCTTTTTGCTTTACTGCACATAATGCTAGCTTTTAGAGATCTTTACAAAACAGATTGTTACTCAGCACAGAAAGTGTTGTTCGCATTTCTTCTTTTCTTTCTTTTGCTTGCCACAAGGCCTACTACAGCATCTGTCTGCTTCAAAACACACATATCAGCCACCAGACACCCAGCACAGAAATTGCCGGCTAAACAGATTCAGTTAAGGTGGATCCTTCACCTGTCGTCAGTCATCTCGTTTTAGTTTCTTACCTTCAGATGGTTTCCCGCCTAAAGCTCGAACCAGCATCCATAAATTAACACAGGTGTTGGAAGAAACAGCTGGTGACTGCAGCCAATCTGTAATAAATAATATTAATGTCAGAGTTTTATTTCTCAACAGATTGAGTTTCCTTTTTTAATTTTCTTAATATGTCCTTTTAGCCATTAAATATCTTAAGAGAATGGGAGGAGAAGTGCTGATGGTGTTGGGTTTATTTACACCCTGAGACTAATTAGAGAAATGTGAAACAGGTGAGCAGGTGGGTGGGGGGGGGGGGTCAGGTGATGGGAGTGGCAGGAGAGAGGTTACTACAGGACATGAGGGAGGGGCTGGTGAGGAAGTCATGTGACTGAGACAGGAGGGTCTGAGGGCATCTGTTGGACAGGTAGAGAAATGGCAATGAATAGGGAGTTGGAATGAGGCTGCAAATAGGGACAGAGAGGAAAAACACAACTGAAGCAGAGACCTTGAGACACTGAAAATATTACAGTTTTACAAGTAGACCTATCTAACAGTTGTCTTTGGAGTCTCACATAATCTTAACAACTCTATTCTTCAAAGAAGTCCACAACCAAAAGTCATGAATTTTGACTGAGCACAAAAGAAAAATGTGGTTGTTGCCCACCACAAAAAAATAGCACGCTAATAAAAGATAGCTAGCTCATAAAATACCTAGCATGCATGTCAAGATAAAAGGAGAAAGCTAACAAAAAAACAGTATATAAAAGAGAACCTGCAGGCTAACTTGAAGCAAACTAAAAATGGCCAACTAACCCAAACACTAGCAAGCTAAAAGCAAGCAATAAAACAACAAAGCCAAACAGTGTATCCTATAACTGTTTAAAAGTCATATACTGTAGAAGACTTGTACATGGCTGATAAAATGTGAAAACGACTGTTAGAAGGAAACATGCAAAAATAATAAAATGTTGGCTATACTAAATAGGCAAAGTTTTGTCAAACCAGCTTTTTTAAATGAATTCTATCAACTAGACTTATTATAAAACTTCTTTGTTACAAATCCTTCCCTTAAAATAAAATGCTTCTGTAGGTGTAGTCTGTAACCATTTGTGCTGCCTTTCATATCATCTTTAGCCATGAAGATTTGGCTGTCAGAGGGAAATAAAAAAAAGTTTTAAAAAGTTAACCTTTTCTTTCTGCAGCTGTTCACTGCATTTCAAATCGTATGGGAGCTAAACAAAAGCCCTTCAGCGTTTCATCTGGTCAAAAATGTTGAAATGGATCATGCAAAAAAAACTACCGAGGGTGTAGAGAACAGCCTACAGATTTTGGAGCTCCACACTGATGTCCAGAAAGGGCAGTGTTACAAACATTCATTGAACAGTGATTTAGGAAAACAAATTGAAGATTTATGAAGCTAAAACTACAGTTATAAACAGTGGCTCAGTCAGTAGGGGCTTGGACTGGGAGCCGTAGGGTCGCTGGTTCAAGTCCCCGACCAGACCTAAATATGGAGTGTGGACTTCTACTTGGAGAGGTCCCAGTTCACCTCCTGCCCTGCCGTGGTGCCCTTGAGCAAGGCACCGGACACCCCCCTTCCCCCCCCACTCCCATTGCTCCCCGGGCGCTGTACAATAGCTGCCCACTGCTCCTAGTACTAGACTCCTTGTACTAGGATGGGTTAAAAGCAGAGGCCAAATTTCGCTGTGTGTGCTGTGTGCTCTGCATGTGTGACCATTAAAGAGGGTTTCATCCCTCCCTATTCTATTCTATATTCTATTTTAAACAGGCAAGACATTATACATCAGTTATTTACGTTTAAAGTGAAATTATTCTTTTTTTGTGTTTTAAAGCACACAGAAATTATATTTTTTAGGTAGAAAATGTCCCCTTGTGTTGATTATGTCCCCTACCACAGTAATACCTGCTGACACTACTTGACTTCTTCCTTCACAGGAGCTGAATGATGCATGCAGAAACATGTTCTCCATCTTCATGAATAGATTAGCATCTTGCACATGGATGCTCCAAGTGGATATTTTATCATTGTGTGTTTAAATTACATAATTTGTCAATTTCTCATCTGTGTGTTAATGTGTCTGTCTTCATTTTCTGAATGACCAACCCCAGTAATCACTGTATCTCATCACAACATTGCCCTCTCCTCTTCTGCTGCAGCTCACCAACACAGAAGACCCAAATTAAACAGAGACTCATCACAATAAAGCCTGGCATAAACATCATGCTTTTGTGCTGGAGACCATTATTGCTCCATCCTTTTCCCGCACAGAAGAAATTACACGCGGTAGATTATGACAGCCATCACTTTGTATCATGTCATGTGCGGCTGGTATCTGGTTTTCAGAGTGACAGCACCACAGAATATGTAGAAAAAGCACCCACATGGTCAAGTTAACCGATTCAAAGGAGATGTCAAAGCAATCACTGTGTTACTGTAATTAAATTTAGATTGAATCAAGTCCATTTTCATGGTACGGCTCATACAATTTTCAGTTGATACAATTCTAAAGCAGCCGTGGCAGATGTAGATCCTGCCGTCTGTTCTAATACAGTGTGCTGAATGAGCAGCTCCACTCTGCAGAAAATAAATTGGATACAATCTAAGATACTGAGAGTCTTTCAGAGTTATTCCGGCTGAATATCTTAGATTAACACAGAATGGCAGCGGGAGAGAATTAACAGATCTTTCTTGCCTTTTGAGGCTCTGTGAGGCTCTGTGTGTCAGAGTGAATAGAGCCACAGTCCACATGGTGGAGGATCATCAGTGGAGCTGAAGAGAGTGACTCCACGCTCGACTGCACAGATTAAGAGAGTGACAGGGACCTATGACTGACTAATTCAATGGGGGCACTCTCTGTAGAAAACACTTCATTCTCAACAATGTCATTTTGCTCTCCTGTGCGATATATATACTGCTATCTGCTACGAACTACTATTCATCCTCGCAGGAACACCCCCGCCTTTTTACTTCAATTCAGCCTGAAAGCAAGAGCTGTGTAGCAAAGGCCAGGCAGTCATCAATTGCATACTGTGCTAAAAGAAAAAGGAAAAAGATCAAAACACACCTCTTCTCACTCATTAGGTTTTAACTGCTTTGACTTATTTAAGAGCTTTGATAATCAGCAGAAAGAGGAGCATTTTAAAACGGTTGCCCCAGTGCTTATGAGATATCCACATCACAGAAAGCTAATTAATGATACATATATCTGAATTTCTGAGTATCCTTTCGTTTCTTTTTCCTTTTTTTCAAAGGGAATCACTGGGATCCGGTTTGCTGAACATCAGAGGTGCTACATCAGGACCCAAACCAGGAAACTACCCACAGTGGCAGAGGTGGAGGCCGGGGACACGGAGCTACTGGTATGCCTCCTGCCTTTTCTGTCTGTACTGTCAGACTCTCTGTAGTGCAACAGAGGCTGTCATGCATATTGTAGGGAGATAACCAGAGTAGAGCTCTGTGAGGAGCACCACACAAATCCTCCGTCTGTCCACCTTATCCTATCTCCCCCACCCTCCTTCAGAAGAGTAAACTGTGGTTTGTGGTGCTGTGAAACCGTCAGAGAGCTGCCCACAAACCCAAGGCATCTTTGTGGTTCACATCAAATGGTGTTTGCTGTCAATCTTGAGCCAAAATAAATGTTTAATCATCTCTTCCAAAAGCTCTACCCAAATAGCCTAAAGGGGGAAGGGTGCAGGGTGAGAGGTAAGCCATTAAAACAGTATTTTTTAAAAGACGGTTACTTTGTAATATTGACGACGCTCCCTCTCCAAGTACAGAGTGATTCTTTTGGTGCTTATCGTTGTGAACTTCAGCAAAAAATGGATGGAGGAAATTCAATCAATCAAATTCTCAATTTTTGTCAGTGTCACAGTGCAATACACTCAGTGGGCTGTGTGTTCAAAGAGAAAATCCCTCTCTCAAATGTCTCCACTGCTTGCATGCTCTCATTTACATTTCACATTGTAGCTGGGAAGAAGTAGTTGGCAAATATCTGACGCTCCTCGCTCACTGCTTCACTTTAAAAACAGAATAAGGCAATTGTCAGCCCAGTCTCAGTTTTTAACTTTAAGAACACAAGCTGTTACACCAAAAACCAAACAGTGTTTTGCTATGTTTTTCCTCTTATCTTCATAATGTCTGATCCATGCTTACAAATACTAATTGCCCAGGCAGCACCATATGTCCATGCCATTTCGGTCTTTTTTTTGTGCGCTGTGAAGCATAATTGGCTTAATTCACAGCTCCAAAGTGAATAATTGAAGGCCAGGAAAGTGAGTAGGGTTTTCACCAGCTAAGACAGACCTGACTTTGATGTACATGAGTAAACAGATTATTAAACACCATGTTCAATACAATAGTGTTCAAGTGTTTTTATGCTGTGGTTTACATAAGGGTGTTCTGATCAATCACTATGAATAGTCTTACACAGTGTTGCCGTATGAGATGACACTAAAGTACAATTAGTAAGGAGCCTTAAATAGACTAAGAAGTGATAACCAGGCAGCCCAGAAGATACCCTGTCTCCTAGAAACTACGCTTACATACTACTAATTCGTTGTATTGAGTGGGGAATACATAATTGCTGCCTGGATTTTATTCATAGGCAATATTTGAGTGTCTATGCCGCATGCTAGTTTGAGGGAGGAGGTTAAGGTGGATTGTGGGCGTACAAAGTAAAGGACTTTGATACTGGAGATGAGGATTTGCATCCCAAATCCTGTATGTTTAGGCTTAGGCAACAAAAATAATGTTTTTCTAATTATTCAGTTGCAAGAAGCAGATTTTGTTTTGAAAAAATAAGAATATTGCAGGAAAACAACTTTGTAATGATTTAGAAAAAACTGCAAATCTGAGTGTTGAGTTGAATAAATTAACCGGCAGAACAGGTGAATAAGGTGGTGGCAGAGTATCATCACTCCAGCCAGAAAGAAAAAAAAACTTTGGAAATAAGCCAATATCTTTACTGCAATACTAATAAGTTAAATGGGGAACATGTGAGCAGGTGGGAGGGGATGGTCAGGTGATGGAAATGGCGGGAAAGGAGTTATTACTGCAGGCAGGAGGGAGGGAGTGACTGGATCTTGAATGACAGGAGAGTTATGGCAGAGAAATCAGAGGAATAACATAATGAACACCAGGAACTGGCTGAATTTGTGGCGACGTATTTCACATTATGGGAGGGAGGCTGTGGCGTAGTGGATTAGTACGATCTTCAAATCAGAGGATAGCAAGTTCGAGTCCCACTGCAGTCAGCATGTCGCTGTGTCCCTGGGCAAGACACTTCACCCCAAATTGCTCCTGTGGGGATTGCCCACAGTATTGAGTATGTAAGTCGCTTTGGATAAAAGCGTCTAACAAGTGACATGACATGTATTATATATGTTTATATGTTTGATCTTTGACATGTTGGCTGTTACAAAGCAATATTTTTTTAATGTGGAATTCTCAAAAGGACTTTTGGGTCAGATGACCTTGATATTGAGGATCTTGTATCTGTGCGGTGAATTTTAAACTACAGTCAAAAGCCGGTGAGCTTAGCGTAAAGACTGAAAACCAAGCTCTCTACAAAGGTAAAAGAAATCTGTTTACCAGCATCTCTAAACCTCACTTATTAATAAATAACAGCAATACCAATGATCTGCTAAACTAATGAATAAATGAGGTAAACAACACACTTCACTGGATGTATAAAGATAAATAAACTGCACATCATTTGATAGACACAACAGTGGAAAAGCGATCAAAGAAACCGAATGAACGCCATAAATTATCCTCTACCATTTTTGTCAATAAAGAAGGTATGTTTTATTTATGTCAAACACTATATTGAACAAGAGAAATATACTAAATATCATATTTAGGTAATAAACAGTGACCTTAGCCTGACCTCACCAAGCTCTGTTATCACATTAGACAGCGACCCCTGATCCGTCCTCCTTGAACATCCTCCCACGTGCGACCCCCGAGGATAGCAGCACAAGTTTTCCCTTTAGGTGGTGAAACCCCAGCTCAGAGGGGTTATAGCCAAGCAGTAATGGTTCCTAGCTTAACCCAGCCACAGGCTTTAGGAAAGATGGCTCAGAGCAGCCGTGGCAGGCTTTAGTGCCGAGGTGAAAAACAATGGAAAAAATTGCGGGAAAACTGCAAGCTGCTGATAAGGAAATTCAGCCCCTGCGAGGGAGAACCAGGTGACAAACATGAATTGTTTGCCAGGATTTTTTCCTCCCTTTTCAATTTGCCTCCTCTATGAAACGTCTGAGGGAGTAATCCCTGAGCTTCATTCCAGTTTCTCCAGTCTGACACAGAAATCGCCATCCACCTCCCTCACACCCCTCAACATTGTCAACTGATGCTGCTTGCTCCATTAAACAGCCACTTAATATGGATGACCAAAGCTCACCCAGCATCCCAAAACCTCCCACTCAGACAGCAACTGCAAACAGAAAAACAGCAGAGGATGTGAATAAAGTCCTGCAAGGTCCTACGGTTTGCTTTTTCTCATATCTGTCTGCATGAAAATGTAAGATTGATTCGTAACAGCGATACCAGTGGGACTATTTTGCAACAAAATTTTAAAAACAGTTCAGTTCCTGCAGATGGGGACATACTCAATCAAGGCTCAGTATGGGCAAACTAGTGTTTTGCATGAAGACATTTGTCCACTAGCCTTTTTAAGATATGTTAAAGCTTCAAAATTGCAAATCACATCGGGCATTTACTGATGTATGTCTTGGACATACCTGACAAGCCTGGGTTTAACCACAAACTTCATTTCAGGCATCTAACCAAAAAACCCAAAAGGCCTTTAGCCTTTCTCTCAAGGCAGGCTTTCAGTGTCCTGTGTGGTCTGAGAGAGGGTGAGTCTTTACCTCTGTGGGGACTGTGTTGATTCTCCTGAACCAGTGGTCTTCTTGCCAGTGGAAAGAGTGGTGTTTCCTGCTTGGTCTTCTATTCAAACTGTCTGCTGCGTCTGCTGGTAGGAAGCTGAGTGAATGAATGCCTCCCCTGACTACCAAATTGGCTGCAAATGTGACCAAAGCCATGTGCCAAGTGGCTGCAACACCAGAAATGGATTAACACGCTCTCTCTCTCCCCGCCCACAACCTGAATTTGCAGACCGCCCCTCGTGCTGGATTGGCTTGACTGTTTCCTCTGGTTTGCCACACCTCAGAGAAAGGTTAAATATAACTGGACAAGGACAAACAGATACAAAACTACAGCTTCCTTCGTTTTGTACTCCCACTCAGTCTGTTCCTTTAACCTCTTAAGGACGACGGTCCCCCCAGTGGACCCCCCCCACCGTTTTTTTTCGAGACTGTGTCTCAGGGCTTCTTAACATTTATGAAACTATTAATGTGTAGCACCAGATTAACGGGAAGAATCTCAGCTAACTGAAGATATGAACCATTTTTACCAAAACAAAACACAAGGGTAATACCACGCCTCTGAATTAGCACTAAGCGAAAAAATGCTAACGCACTTAGCACAGAACTCAAGATAAAGATACCCTTATTACTTATCATAACTGCACATACAATATATCCGATTAAAGCTGAGACTCCACAGATTATATAGGTATAGTATCATCACTGAGCGATCCGAACTCGCGACAGGGGAAGCAAACACAGACATCACAACACGTACCTTTACGGAGCTTTTACGGGAGATCGTCTCACCGTAGCTGTCAATCTGATCAAAAGACGTGTTCAATGGCATTAAAACGAGAAAAAACGCGGCTGAATCGGTTGATCCATAGGTTAATAATGTATCTGTCGCTTTGAAAAAAATATTTATAATCCATAATTAAATTTTTATGTAAAAATCGGAGAGAAAAAGTTAGCTGCTAATGGTAGCCAACAGAGTGTATGCAGATTCCGGTTTTGGCCACGCGTCACTCTCACTCCTTATTTGTTAACGTGTTGGGGTGTGTAGAACTTTCCCTCGATTCCATTGGCTCTAGCGGTTATAAAGAGATTTCATTCATCAAAATCGAGCAAGGGGGGCCAGAGATATGGAAAATCCACCCAAATGACCCCAGAAGTGGGTTTCTTTTGCTAAATCTCTCTAAAAAGGTCAAATTTCACTTGTTTTGCATCAATCTTGATACAGGGTACTTATTATATGTTGTACTTTGGATTCCTAAAGCTTTTAGTCTACTAACCCATCATCCAAGGGTAGTTTTCACTATAAGTAAAAAATAATTTTTGGACGGACACTATAATTTACAGTTTTTTACTATGTTCAATCTGAATTTTCTTTAAAATAAAAAACATCTATATTGATTCTGACTTTTCTACATCCAACTCACAGGTTTATCATTACTTTGAGAAAAAAGATGATTAATTTAACCCTTTTAGAAGGGAAGATATGGTCATTTGTTCTGGGAATGTCATTTTCGAGCCTGAGACCTGAAAAACAGGCTCAGGGTGGAACAGGTTAAAGGTCAGCACTGTCAGACAATTATTTGAATGTCAAAGTGAACCAAAATTAAACTCAAAGAAAAAAGAACACAGATTAACAAAATTCAAGCAAAAGGCTAAAAAAAATAAGCATTACCTTTTAGCAAATGCCAGCACTCTTTTTTGCTTAAGTGTCGACTTAAATTTCCCACATGGTACTCTGAATAATGAAACCACCTGCTTGTGTTTTGTACAGTATATGAAAGCTCTTGGTAGTCATAGGAAAAATTATGTTGATCTGGCCAACACAGCACCCCTTGAAACAGTATATCATCTAGACAGTGTCCCCCCCCCCCCCCCCTCCATTTTGGGCACAGTGGCAGGAGAGGGTAAATTCATTAACTCCAGCGCAACTTGTGTATAATTAAGTTGTGCATTGTGGGCGGAGAGCAAACATGCACCAGCAGGAGCAGGCCACAAATAACAAATTACCATAATTCCCAAGGTCCAATAGTTTAAATAAGTAGTTTGTGTCCTAATAATATAGCATTTTGTCAATATGAAAAGGGAAAAGCCTTTCAAAAGTGTGTATAAACTGGAAGGCTGTAATCATGTTGTCTTTGTGCTTGTCAACTGGCATTTAGAAATCCCAGCCCCATGCTAAAATGCTGACCTTTACCACTTCCCCCAGGCCCGTTCCTGCAACTTATTGGAAGTCGTTTTTCAACTGTGAAGTCAAAGTCATGTTGTGAGCCCCGTGTCGTGACCTCCATTTATTTCCAGAGAAGACTCACTTGGCTTCAGTGGTTAGGAGGTCCAATTAGAGAGTTGCTGCTTGTGTTCTGAGAGTTTGATTTTAATTTCTGCAAGCCACAGGAACAGTGAGTGCAACAACTCATTGCCAGACCCCCCCTCTGCGTGCCGACCCAACCCGGCTACACCCGTCCTCTGAGTCGTCATTAGTTTACTGGTCGGAGCCTGAAAGTGGAGGAAAGTGTGTCAAAAGCTTGGGCTAAACACTCCTCACGCCCAAACACAATCTAAAGGAATGTGCTCGAGTCTTTTCCCCCCTCTCTGCGGGTCACAACTGTGTCGCTCCATGACAAACACAAGCGGCATAGAAAGCGAAAATGTAAATCAAGCTGGAGTGACAGGGGTGAAAATGAGGGAGGGGGCACGACCTAATATAAATGATTTTGCTCCTCTACAGCCTCAGGATTCTACGTCAAGCTTAACTAATGTGCAATTAAGCTTTAGACTGGGAGAAAATCACCTTGTAAAAACATTTGTCAAGTGAACTGTTTTTCTGTTCTGGGTTGCTAATTAACAAGGGAATGGGAAGAGGGGTTTGTTTGTGTGTGTATTTACATATACATGAAGAAAATAAATATCTGCACTGTTAGGGCAGAGCATTAGCGAATCCCCTTCATATGTCTCTATTAGACATCACTGACATAGTCCCTATCATTAAGCAATAATAGTTTACTTTACAGCTCATGAACTACAGTATCAACAAATTAAGCCCTCTGATAGCGCCGGGTGCCAAGCGAAGCATTGTGGGAGAGGGGAGGAGGGAAGGGGGGATGGGGGAGGAAAATGCAAAGCTTTATTGTGTCTGTCACATTAAACGATATTGCAGCCACACTCAGAGTAATGAAGACCACTTCTAAAGTCATTTAAAAGTCAAATCATCACTGTCTGTGAATTTCAATGATGTATAATAGAAAGAGCGTGCCGCAGGCTCGAGAACAGGGCGAGGGAGAGAAAGAGGAGGGAGTCAGGGCGAGGGGGAGGCAGGAGTCACGAAGCTGCCGCCCTCTCAGCGGACAGAAAGGTGATAGATAAAAACGACGAGGCCGGAGCTGCTGCGAGGCTCAAGGGAGGGAGAGTGCAAATGCGGAAATGTATTTTGTGCGGGGCCTCGACATTTTAACAGGCTCTGACATGCAATATTCTATGTATGTATGTATGTGGTGTGTGTGTGTGTGTGTGTGTGTGTGTGTGTGTGTGTGTGTGTGTGTGTGTGTGTGTGTGTGTGTGTGTGTGTGTGTGTGTTTTCTCGCAGGTGGATGAGACAGAGGCCATGGATATGAAGGTGGAAGACTCCCAAGTGTGGGTTCCAGCCGAGGAGCCCATCGTTAACCCGGCCTTCCTCTTCGGCTCCAAGATCTGGGAGATTTGCCAGGAACTGCCCATCCACTGGATCCATCCCTCCCCTCTGAGCGGTGAGAGCAAGGGCCATCGCTGCCTCTAAATGCAGGCGATGAACACTTTCGCTGCAGGGCATCCCCACAGACCATCTGCGGGTCCTTAGGGACCGCATGAGCATCCAGCCTGGGCTTCTGTGTGTTTACAGAAAGTTATAAGAGCGATGGTCAGTGTTGGAAGAATCTCACAGATCCTTAACCTAAAGCAAGAGTAGGTTTTAAAATATTACTTTCTTTTGCTGGTGGCCTTCCCAAAATTGAAGCAAAAGTATCCATAAAAGAGTGGAAAATAGTCCATTATAAGTCAAAATCGATTAATTAGAATAAAGAGATGTTAGTAGACTAATACATGAACCAAAGTATCAAAGCTTAAACACAATCATTATGAAGAACAATCACTTTCAGAGTGTTTTAATATTTTAATATATCATTGTGTAAGCAGCATTTTAATATTGTAGCTGGTGTAAGTGGATCTGACTTTGAAGGGTTTGTATGATGATTATATTTTGTTCTGTAGAATGTATAAAATATACGTGAGTCCTTTTTTTTTGCATCTCTGGATCATTTCAACCAGATGGACTGATCTGAGTAGCAACTCATTTATTTCATCAGTCTTTCGAAGATTTTGAAGAAAAAATGTAAGGTGAAGTCACGATATCAATGGAGATAATATTGACAGGATGTGTAAAATCAAAACTTGGAGATATCATTTAAGACTATAAGCTTTCTCACATAGCTTTAAAAAATGTCCTAAAGTATTATATCTGAACAAACAAAATATGTTGGCACTTGTTGAGCTTCTTGTATGTCTAGTTACTGCAGTGGTGGGGGGCAACACATATTCAACTTCTCTACTGTATATAATATTCACTTTATATACTAAGAGAGCGGTACAATATAAATAATTTAGATTCAAGGAAACATACCAACCAAAGAGTAAAAGAACACATTTAAATATTTTGCAAATGTTTTTCATCTATTATTCATCAAAGAAAAGCCGAAATAATTGACAATATGATGCATAATAGTCATATAGTATGTGCACAGTGTCCAATAAATAGTTTTGTTAAACCTTGGCACCTTAGTAGACCCTTTTTGTATCTCAGGTAAGATTTTTCTATTCTTCCGTATTTTTCAATCATTGAATTTCCATTTTGTTGTCACACATTGGATTTTATATATTTCTTTGTAGCAAAATGAATGAAAAAAATGTACCGCATTGCACAAAACATATAAAAAACAGTCAAATTCTATTGAACAGATGGAATACACCACAATGGCAGAGCTTGTCGAATCCTTTAAGGAGGTAAGACTTTAAATAAAAGATCAATCACTTGTAAGATGAACAAGATTGTAGTGTGTGCAGTATATTCAAAGTAACTTCAACAATCTAATGATTTTAAGAAAAGAATATGATATAGAAAATGAAAATACTTTGAAAAGTAAAATACAACTGCCTCAAAACTGTGCTTAACAAAATGTCCATAGTGAAATTCCCTCGCTGTTGATGGTCATCTGGAGATTTGTTTTTTTTGTTCCTCAAAAGGATTTGAAGGCTTTACTAATTAGGATCCGGGGAAATTGATTTGTGATGTGTGTGTTAGTATCACAACAGCAACAACAAAACATTGTTAGACAGAAGCATGAAAAAGCTTTGAATGAGTTCCAGCGTTTTTCTTCTGAATGTCAAGCCACTGGGAAAATAGAGTGCACGAGCCAACATTTAATCTAAGAGCTTTACTTAAAAAACAGTAGGAAAACTGTTGCAAGCACATAAACATCTCCTCTCTTCATACTGTCTGGCAGATGCTGAGATGGGAAATGAGGACGCACCTGACGCAGAGGTCACAGGTCAGCGCTTCGCCCGTGACGTCCTGGACCACCCTGCCGTGAACGACTATGTAAGTGTGCCTCTGTGCCGGGACCATGAGATACAGTAGAGTCACTTCAATCAGCTCCAGCTCTGCCTCGACTCTTTCTGCATTTAAATAGCTCACTAATTGATGTTAAAACTGACTTTGTGCACCAGAGGGCACGGCAATTGCTCTATATATCTGTTTAAGTAAGGCCAGTTCATTGAAGACTCCCTTAATGTCTCTCCATTAATTGAGAGGAATATCCAGGCTTTCAAAGGCAGAAACTTGTGCCTTACAGCAACCGTTAGCTCATCTTCTCACTTCCTTCTTGCTGAGGCACTACAAAGAAGCACTCTCAAGGTCACTCATTGCTCCACAGATAAAGTACATTTATTAATACCGCTTTAATTATCAAAGCGTATAAAATGTCTGGAAAGGCCAAGTGGCATATTTTGGCGTACTGCATCTCAATAGAGAATGTTTAATCATCCCTGACGCTGAGGGGAAATCATTTAAAGCAGTATATTACAAAGGAATTATGCACTCATACTGACACCAGAAAATTGCAGTTAAACACTAAAGATATCAGGGACATATACAGGTGCAAAGATATACACACACACACACACACACACACACACACACATTCAGCATTTACAGGTGAATAGCCACTAAAGCCAAATTCAAGGAGAATAAGTCGGCTCTGTATCCTTCTCTGAGCTGTGAGAAACGGTGAGAGACACGCAGAGAAGTGAGACGTCCTATAAAGTTGACATTTATCAGGCTGTCCCAGAAACACCTCCCGCTCAACTCCTCAATTTCCCCCCCAGCCTTCCCTGTCTTCCCCTTCATCGTCTGCGGCAGGAGATGCAGTGCTATGCAATTAAAACATACCAGGGGATGAAAAACTCTGCTTTCCTTTTGAAACGTTCTGGCACTATCAGCTGAGTAATGCATACCAGTGCAATCCTTTCCAGCAGCACATCCAGGCTCTGTTTGTGGGTCCGGCGATAACAAAGGCCTTTGTGGCCAAGCAAAGGGCAGGCAGCAGTCTGTAATTGGGAGTCTGAACCTTCGCTCATACCGGTGGGATGCCACATGTGCTAGCCAAACCTTGTGGCTGTGGATAAAAGTGTTAGCCAGAACTCATGTAAATGTCCACACAGTCAGAAAACCACCAAGCACACACACAAACACAGTCTCCTGCGCACACTTGTTCTACCCCACACCCTTTCATCTATCATACTCACACAAAATACTATGCGTTCACTTTTTTCTGCTTCTGGATTTCAGAGCCAAGTCTCCCCACAGTTCAGGTTTCTTACGCAGAATAAGCGTTTGAGTCCTTGTGGCATATGTTGACAGATATATGAAGCCGACCTTTGCCACGGCTGCCATGTCAGAGTGTATTGTCCATCAGAGGTGGCCCTGGAAATTTCAAACTGAATAACTGCCATCTGACAAGGCTGAGGCGATGGTATCACAGTCCTTGACCCATAAAGTAAGAAATGGCTTCCAATAAGAGTTGACCTCACAAACATACACGTGTAAACATGTTTCATGGGTGTTTCTGCCTGTGTTTGTAATGTGTTGAATTCACATTAAGGATCGTGAATGGATGGCTATTCCTGCTGAACAGAGGTGCAAATAGATGAAATAATTAAAATCTGTGAATGTAGGACCTCTTTGCGCCTTCTGAGAAATCTTTACACTGAAGCTAAAGCCCATTATCGGCCCTGAAAACCAGCAGTGTTTACTGAAATACATAACTATGTCTGTATTCAATTACATCCCATTTCACTGTCATTCCACCTCACTGTAGAGCACAGTGAGATGAGAATCTGAGATCAGGGACAAGCGGTGAAGCATTTGTATATGTTCCACTGTCCTGTGCTTCTACATAAAAAACCCTTTGGAATACAAAGCAGGGTCTGAAACAGAAATGTTATCTCTGCTGTTTTGATCCCAGGATGAATGTGACGAGCTCAGCCATGAGATTTAAAGCCACATCCAGACACACGCTTCAAGCTCATGAAGAGCGGTGATCAGTGTGTGTGAAATAACACCAACAAGTGTGCAGATTAGAGGAGTCGTGCTTTGATTCATTACATCTTTTTTGAAAGACTGACGCCGTTTTCTACTCTGCAGGCTCATTCATATCCAGCGCCCCGTATTATGCACAGAGGTGCCTCTGTGTGTGCGTTTGCATTTGTATACGTGAGCCCGAGTGTGTGATGAAATCAGATGCAGCACGGGGGTAATGGCTTTTACTCTTCATTAATGCTGCTTGTTTTTGAGTGACTGCCTCAGATTTCCCAAGGTGAACCATTCTTATCACCGCAGCATCCCACAAGAGCTGGCAACTCAAAGCCAGAGTGATTAATATGTACCCTCCGTTTTAAAAGGATAGCTCTGATTAATTGTCTTTAAGCTACAATGATGCCCATTGGCTGTTTGTTTTGATAAACGCGGCATAATTTGAATACAATATTTCCTTCATTTTCCGAGCCGGAGCTCTAGATTTCGTAACCCCCCAGTTTGGGCTGCGAGGAGCAGATAAGATTATCGTTGGTCCATTGACAGCTTTCGTGTTGTTTCCATAACAGATTGTTGCCTGGAGGCTGATGACCTGAAACTTGACTGATACAATAAATCATTAAAAGCCTACCTGCACTTGTCATGCTAATAAATCAAACCCAGCTATCCTAGATATAATTTGTCGCACCCTTCTTTGTGTTTTTAGGATGTCTCACGAGTGTGTAATTTCACTCAATTTATCACAGCTTGCATTAAATGCATAGTGTACTTTTTGGATCATGCTGATGTTGAATTTATTGCTATGTTTTGATAGTTGCTAAAGAAAATAAACCAATAAAATGCATGAAAAACCACTCGGATTGACTGCCCACTGTCTTGCAGAGTAGAATAAAGTAAACTCCTAATTCCAGCACTTAATGTAGCTGAGGACTGAAGGGACTGGAGTTGCTCCTGCGGGTCCTGTCCTCTTAAACAATTCCCACACATTTTCTTTTCCCAACAGTGGATGTGTTTTGTTCTGCCCTATTGCACGAAGCTGAGTCACTGCAAGCACTTGCAAAGAATTATGCTAGTTTTGTTCTGAATGAGAAGTCATCGACTCCTGGATCCAAGCAGTTTAACGAGACAGCGCCGGATTGTCTCTGCGGATTCATTTACTAAAAGAGATTGAAATGTGGTCAAATGCATACTGAGGGCAGTTGCTGCCTCAACTTGCGCGGTGAGTTAAGTGGCACTTCTCCGAACCCCATTTGGAGTTGCTCTTGATCAAAGGCATGGCACTCAGCCCCCACGAGTCTACGGGGGCATGAACCAACCGGCACAATGGAAAAATCCAAGGGCCATTAATTCTACCCAATTTACCTTTCGTTTGGGTTTCATTTGGCTCCTCTATAAATTCAGAGGCAGCCAGCAAGAGCAAATGAAAGAATCCTTGTTAGGCGATCATTACTCTGCTAATTGCTTTAGGAATGTGCCATGCACTTAAAGTCAAGGTCAGGGGGAGGGCGCCAAGACGTGGGGAGCTCTAATTTGAATGCTCTATTGGAGGAGGGGCAGCCATTTTGGAGCAGAGTGTGGTCCTCGGTCGAGGGAGTGAAGAGGTCAGAGATGAAAGAAATAGTGTAATTATACTGGTAACTACCAGCGTAAGAGTCTCTTTGATTGAAGATAGCGCTGATAGAGCGGCTGTGAATGCTGGATTCAGAGACGGGGCGTTGTGAAGTCGTGCTACCTCTGGTATAATAGAAAGGTCAAGGGTATTATATCATGTTTTATGCTCCTGCAGCTTAAATCAAGCTCGCTCACTCTCCCCTGCTATCTTGATCTCTTTGTCACAGTCATCAAGCATGGCACAACTTTGCATTTTCACAGACATCAATTCTGATCTTTTCCCTCTTGTTTGGTTTTTACATATATTCTGCTGACCTACAAGCGAAGCGCGCTCATATATTCCCACCATCCCCTCCTCCTCTTCTTCTTCTTCTTCTTCTCTTGCCCTTGCCTTTGGGAGTGGACTGGCATTTGTCATCATGTGTGTGATTGTAACCCTGTGTCCTCTGCAGAGAGAAGTGGGAATCGAGCTGGATAACCGTCTGGACGACGAGGGCTTCTGCTGCCAGCACTGTCGCCGTGGTTACCGCTACTGCCAGCGCTACCACGAGCCCCTGGGAGGCTTCAACCCGTGGCCGTATTACTACCAAGGAGGGAGGGTCATCTGTCATATCGTCATGCCGTGCAACTGGTGGATCGCCCGCATGCTGGGAAGGGTCTGAGGAGGGCGCTTTGATTTAAACTGTTGTTAGTGCAAAATCCCCCCTTTTTGATAAATATTACATTTCACTTGTGAGAGCAAACCACACAATTATTATCCAATATGAAAGTTGGCCCACTGAGCTTTAGTCAGTTTAAACAGTCTAAATGTCATTTGAAACGTTTTGATTCTGTCTTACAGCTGTCTAATTTTCTGTGCTTATCTACCCATTAAGTATTCTCTCTGTTTGATTCTGTCGAGTGGGTGCAATTTAGTTTGGAAGATGTCACCAGAAACGAATCTGCTCGCAATGAAATACTTCAGCACTGTCTGTTCTGACTTTGTCATGCAGTCTTTTTTTTTTAACTTTTAGATTAAAAATACTTGTTCTGCTAATACTGTAATGTGAGAAAATCTACATGCAGAATATTAATATGTGCAAAAGTCAGAGTAGTGCCATTTATCTAAATATATGTTTTGTCTCAGTTGTTTGTCATCCGCTTTTTCATTATTGCTTAAGCAGATACAAGCCTTCCCATATTAACATGAAACCAGAACAACATATGCTAATCAAAGTGATACAAATGTGGGAAAAAAACAAATAAGCAAACAAAAAGAAACACTTAACGGAATTAAAGGAAGCCTTTCTTGCTGGCTTTATAACAAGTGTGTTTTAAGATCATGTTAAACTAAGGAGGTACAGTATAATTGTAGATGCACAGGCCTCAGCTGTCTGTGTGATGTGTTTGCTGTTTTTCTTCTGCTCCATTGTTTTCCCTCTTGTTGCAATCCACAAAATGCTTTAAATAGTGCGACTCTTCAAACATTTTTCTTCTTTGCCGAGGCGATTTTAATCTGCAACACCACGTCTCAATCTGTCGATCTGAAATAACTCTCATCTGCAAGAAACAGATAAGCGAGTAAGATAGGCATATACAATTGATGTTCTGTCATCAGAATAACAAGGTGCATAAATGCCCAAGAGTATTCAAGCGATGTGAGATATTCAAAAGTTAAACAGAGAGACAAAAATGGAGCACTCATGTTGTCATGGTTTGCTTTGAAGCCTTCTGTGTCTTTCTGTCTCTTTCCTGTTTTTTTCCCAATTAAAATTTCATTGAATGAATAATCTGAGTTGTCCTATCATATGAAACAATATGATGTGAAAGCTGAAGTGAAGATGTATGCAATCCCTACAATACACAGACCTCCTTCCATGTTCTCCATTAGTCCCATTGCTCATTAGTAAGAAATACTTAGCCTCAATTTGAGAAGAAAAAACTAGACGCTGGAGTCTCTCTTGTGTATCTGATTGTTTACACACTGAAAAAAAGGACTTTTTGGCTTTGTAAATATTACTTTGATTATATGTTTAAATTCTACAATACATTAGTATTTCAGTAATTTTACTCCAAATGTCTCCTTTTATTTAATGTGTTACTTGTGTTTCTATGTAATTTTGAATCTTCATTTTGATAAGTGAATTTTAACAATAGCACCAAGTAAATATTACCTAAATTATTGTATTGACTGTACAACCTGTTAAAGCTATTAAAATGTACATGGGAAATGCAAGTTAACTGTGGGTGACGTCATAGGAGAGTATTTCCCGCACGTTGCCCCCGCAGACATGCACGGCCAGTCTACTCAGAAGGTTGACATTTGAGTGGAACTTGAAGACTGCTTGGTCAACCATTTCATTTGAATATTCATCGATGTGGAGTCATGTGAGTATGTTTATGTGCTTGGTTAACTTGTTATATTCCTATTAGCTTGTCAGCTGAAGTCAGTATTTGGTTATTAAAAATGTAAGGCTAAGTTAGCTAACATTAGCTGGTTAACTAGCTCATTATCGTGCTAGCAAACTTAGCCCGGTTTCATGCAAGTTGCACACATCAGATATAATATATTTTTTTTAATGGCTTATTTGAAGCTTCAAAGTTGTCGGCTACGACAACATTCGCCGTTTATAATGGAAACTATGGCGCACTTTTAAAAATTTGAATAGTTTTTTATTTCGGGAGAGGGGGGTGTTCATGGCTCCAGCTCGACAAAAGAAATACTCAACAGTATGTGCGACGCTACGTGATGCGGTCAGTTTCACTGCAGCCTAGAGAAGGACAAAGTGGTCATGGAATATTATATTTGCAATTAAATATGAACAGCGCGATTTAAAAGGTAAGTGTGTGTGTGTTTGCCTCGATGGATTCACTGTTGGCGCTTTTCCAGTGCAGCACTTAGCACAGTTTGGTTTGACCCGGCCCGTAACAACATACTGATACCGGTTAGTAAAAACCATGAATTAATGCTTTGACAAGTCTGCGTTTTGTACTTGTTTCACTTTTGTCTAGTTTCTGAACAAATATGAGGAGCTGTGAGCTCTGAGTGCTAACAGCTAACGGCTGATGTTCCGGTGTGAACGCGGCTATTGAAGATTCCTGCAGTACAGGAAGTGACGATCCTGAACACGTTTTTTTCCCGGCCCCCCGAAGGACTCATCACGGAGGTGATGAGTCCGCTCACCATGCACTTTGGGTCGGCCTTGGTCAAGCCCTTTTGACCCCCCCAGCCTGGTTCTCGTAAAAGCCATTTTTCGCTCAAATGATACCATGGAGGAATGTAACGGGAGTTGACAGGGGACTCTCCCCGCCTCACGAGTGCCTATTTTCGGACACTTTTTTTCACATTTTCCCCGGTTCTATTCATTTTTATTTTGTTGGCTATTTCACCCGGTTCCTTCTAACTGGGACACTGCCCGGTCCGGGTGTCCCCCCCACGGCCAGTGTCCAGCCCCCCCTCCCACTCATCCATATATTAACAGATTTTGACATGTTTTGTTGCATTTTTCTCCTCTCCGCTCTGTGATCGAATGGCAAACGCGACCCACCATGCCCACGGCCTAGTTCTGCTGCTCTGGCGGTTGGTTCTTCCGAACTGCGGGTTCGACTCTGATGACCGGGAGGGTGTGCTGCGTTGGGGTGGGGGACTTCCCCCACTTTGCGTGTCTCTTCCTTCCCGGCCGGCCGACGACGCACGGTCTGACGGGTCCCACGGGTCCCACGGGTCCCACGGGTCCCACGGGTCCCGCAGCGGGGTAGAGGTTCAGGGCTGGAACCTCCCCACCTCCGCCGCGGTGCACCCGGCCAACACGGTTGTTTGTCGAACCCGCCACTGTTGTCTAGCGGGTGTAACTATACAAGATATCGTTATTTATTTATATAAAAAAAAAAATATATATATATATATATATATATATATATATAATAAGTGTCATTGCGATTTTATTTTGTATTAGCGTGCATTTCCTGTTCGGAAAGTGGTGCTGTACTGAGAGTAAACAATACAATTGAAACAGTTGAGGGGAACGTGCACCTTTTGCACACAAACAAATTGCGTTTGTTTTGCTAATGTACCATTAGCTCCTGGGTTTTAGGCGGCGGAAGTGACGTAATCTGCCACCCAGGACAAGAGATAAAAATAACGCCATACTCAGAGAATGTATTCCTACGGTTTAAAACACATTATTGTACATTAAAGTTACATTCTGATGATTAGTGACATTTCATTTTATTTATTTCATTATTTGAAAAACAAAACACTTTCCACTAGGGAGGAAAAGGTCGGCGCCCTTTATTGACCAGCCGCCACTGATAACAATACTATTTCTGTGTCTCATATATATTCATCCTTTCATATATATATATATATATATATATATATATATATTCATCCTTTTTTACTTTATATTAATTGCAATGTCTTCTATAGTAACAGTGACTTTAATGATATAGGGCTAACTAGATGTGCTTGCATTATGTTAGCTAATCATGCTTATCTGTTCCCTTCCCTTTTCAGTTTTGTTTTTGTTCTTAGGCAACATTTCATTTGATGGTTGGTGTTTTCCTCCAGCAGCCTGTTGAAATTACAGTGCCCTCTCACTGTACAACAGCATCAAGTTACAACAGCAAGACAAGACACCTGACCATGGAGGTAACTTTACAAATAATTGTATATTGTGTAGGGCTAGGTAAATTAAAAAAGTCGTCAAAACCAACATTCTTAATCTGTTACCGACCAAATTTCAGTCACATCGATAAGTTATGTGGTCACACTTAGTCTTCAGCCAACACCATACAAACAAAGCTAAATGTAAATACTGTCGAAAAATAGCAGATTAGCACAGCCTTTAAGTAGCGTTTAGTGTGCATTGGGTGGCGGAGGAAGGGAGATGGTGTGGCAGAGCTCAGAGAGGTATAAATTCTGCTGTCTGAGTAAATGTAGTGATACATTTACTCAAATTTGAAAAACACAAGGAGGTTAAGAAGCTATGGATAAAGCAGTTATGAAGAACCGGAGGTCTGTCATTGTATTGAAGGGTTGTATTTTGGATAAAAGTATTATTACGTTGTTTTTACTTTGCGTATTGATTAGCCTTGAATGCAGTGACAAGTTGTATGTATACATGTGTGATAGAATTATTTTTTTAAATAACATTTTACATGATAAAAATGGCTCTGAATGTATATTGATGTGTTCATATTTAAGCAATAAATTGCAAGACAGTAAGTTCTGTAATTTACATAATTAATTTATAATGTACTTTCTATATATTTCACAGGTTACCAAGGGAAATTGAGTCATTCAGCAATTTTGTCTTCGACAGCTAATGCAGAGTAAGTTGATCAACTCAGTACTGTTAGAAGTTTAAGTTGACATAAATGTTTTTGTAACATGGTTTAGTTTCAAGAGGTTTAAAGATTGAATTAATTTGTGTTTTTTTCAGATTCCACTAGATGGGTGTGCAAAACATGTAGCTTTGAATCTAACAAAAGGACAGGATTGTTAAAGCACTACAGGCTAAAACATGTAAATGGTTTTAAGTTAAATGTTTATCAACTCATTTGTATGCACAGCTTGATCCTGCTTTGCATCCTTGCACCTAGTTGGTGCCTTCTTTTGTAGCAGGTTCAATTGACCATTACGCAACATCTTTTGCTTTCTCTCTACAATAATGTACTTGTCTGTTTTAACAGCTACATGTAGAAGATAGACGAGATGCCATCATCCGCTGCTTGATGGAGTTCCTTGGAGAGTCTACAGAGGAACTCATCAAAGACTACCAGGTAAATGTTCTGATGATTGTTGTATCCATAAACATGTTGTCTGTTCTTCAATATTTGTAAATGGATATCTCTACAGGTTAGTGACTCATGCTAGTATGTGGAAAAGGCATGTCTTTTTAATTAAGTTTAACATTTAGATGAAATAAATTGGTATTTAATATATTTAAAATAAAAGCAAACATTTTACTTTATTCCATTCATTCTTTTTTTCATTCTTTCTCTAATGATCTTTTTTTACATTCTGATTCATAATTTGGTTTTCAGTAGAATTGAAGATTTGAGCCTTTAAACCTCCGATCCCACCTCATTTTTGCTAAACTGAATCCAGTACTATACCAGCTTTTACTTCCTGCTTGGAACAGAGCAGCTTTTTTAAACCAAGAAATAAAAAGTGACTACAAATTCCCTACATAACTTACCTCGTCTTTATCTACAAAAGGAAAGGAACTATAAAATCAATAGTTAGTTAAATACTAGGGCTGAACGATTAAAAAAAAAAGATGTAATTGCAATTATTTTAACTGATATTGCAATTGCGATATCAGGAAATGATCATCATTATTCTCATTTTCATTGAAACCTTTTTAAATGATCATGGTGTGATTTTTGCGAGGATTTGTAGCAAACAAAAATGTTTTCTTTAGACTGTAGAATATGATGTGTAGGCATCTCTGCAGCACGACAATATTACATTTAAAATGCTACTTTGACACACATTTTTCCTTTTACAAATATCGCACCTGCTGCGATTTGAAAATTGTTGTAGGCAATATTGCAGTTTCGATAACATTTTGATTGATTGTCCAGCACTTTAACCTAATGAATCACCTTTTGCATATTCAGTCACTTAAAAGAAAACATGTACAGTATAGTGTATCTCAACACCAATTCACATGTTTTGACAGGATGTGAGCAAAGAAATCGTCAGAGAGGACTATGCTGAGCACGTCATGAAAATAGTTGTCCTCCGTGGAAGTGCAGCACACGAAGGCCCTGCCGATGTGTCCATCATCATCGAGGGAAGTGAGGTTCTTGATGACTGCAGATGTGTGTCAAAGGCTTGCCTTCTGCTCATGGGCTTCATATATGCAATGAACTTAAGTTATCCACCGAAGATGAAATACACTTTTGAGGTATTTCAGAAGCTCTTTCTTGAGCTAAATGTCCTGAAGATGTCT